AATCTGTGACAACAGGTACAAGTTAAGGGTTAGAAAGTCCCTGTCTTGGAAAGGCCTACTACTCTACATAATAGGTTACCTATTTTGGAAAGATAACTTCTACTTTTTGTAGATTAGTGCTATCACTCACCCGCAAGCATCAAAGACACACCAGTCATAATACTGCTGGAAGGGCACCTCAGGGTGGCACTGAGAGAACAGATTCTGAGTCATGACTGTGCACCTTTTCCTGGCCCATGTCACTCTATGGGGGTTCAGCTGAACAGAACAAAGAGAAAAGTTGCCATAAAAACAAAGTTAAAAAAAAAACTAGATTTACAACAATGTCATAGGTCCAAGTCTAATCTTCTGCAAGTGTCAGTGGCACATATGTGTGAATGGGCAAGCGTCTGTACTTACAGCACAGGGGTCTCGGAGATCCTGATCTGCCACATCTGGGCAGGAGGGGCTGACCTTCCAGGAGTTTCCAAACAGCTCAGGTGTAGACTCCACAATTCCCTGCCGTGTTGTGAAGTCATTCTCTGTATCCCCATCAAAGTTACCACACAGGCCCCCGACCCGACCCTGCAGGTGGGCTGCAAGACGCACATACACCCGCATTCCTGGAAATAACATGGAATGACAACATTACCACTGATTTGTTATTTAACCTATATCCACAGCCACAGACATAACAGGTAAAGTTCAGTGTGAAAAAGTAAACTGTAAAAAAGAAAACTGATGTGTGTTTATCCTACCTCCATCCCATAGCAGAGTGACACCAAGTCGGGAGTAGAGGGACACATACAGGCCAACTTTTTCCAAAATCAAACCACTTCCACTGTAGGTCTTTGGTAGAGTAACTGGCATCCCATTTACAGTCACAGCTTTACCTAAATAACAGAGACAAGACAGCTTACCTCAAGCAAATATTCCTAAAATAATGGCAGCTATGAACCACAACTTGCTATTATCCAGCCTCCACTTCCCTCCTACCTCTCAACAGGTGTATGATCGTATTTCCCAGGCTGAATGTGATTGACTTTGTGCAGGTGACCCCGGTGCTCCCACAGGGCACATTCTCAGCTGAGATGCTGAACAAACCACTGCTTTCCCTTACTAGCACATATTGGCAGTCACCCAGGAAAGAGTAAGCGCAACCGTCAAATGTCACATAATGTGGATCACCAGTTGCCATACAAACACCGGCACAAGCAGACTGGCTGCAGTGCCAGCGGCGCTCCTTACAAACGCTGTGGGAAAGAATGAAATGTAGTTGAGAGAGTGAAATGTTAAAGGGATGTGATGCAATAAGACAAATGTATTACATTACCATATGTTGCAGTCTTTTGTGATGGTGTCGTTGCTGTAGTAAAGTCGACCATTATGGTGACATGGGCACTCATCTGGCAGAACACAGCGATCACCCTGGAGTAAACCAGAAAATACAGTGTACATCAGTTAAAACTTAACGTGGCTAATCAGACATACTTAACCCCTTTTTATCTAAAGACAACCTTTTAATAAAGAGGAGCTAAATAAGATGATGTTCAACTGATTTCCTGTGTAATCTATTGGCTATTATTGTCCAACACCATAAAAAACTATTTCTGACAACAAATTTAAGATTTAATGACACATACAATTAACTAAAAAAATGGACCACTTCTTCCTCAGTTTTACATCTCTGTTTACTTGTTTAGTACTAGATCTTTAATCATTTTCTTGTCAGCAACTCATATTTAATTAAAGTGGACCTGAAGTGAAAATTGGCAGCACTTCAGAGGCTCAGCTCAGTGGATCTGGCCCCTCCTGAGTGTAATGAGGAAAATATTTTACTTGACTGGACAGCTACTTCAGTGGAAGCAAAGGTTTGTGAGACTTACATTTTGAATGATGCTTGCATTCTGAATGTTTGTGTTGCTGTTAGTGTGAAAGTCCATGACCAGTTAAACTGAACTGGATTTTGAGAGAGAAGTGGCTGAAACTGAACTAAACATTAAGCACTCATATTGTATTAACAGAACACAGCATGTCCTGATTTTAAATAAGT